AGCAGGTGAAGAATATCATTGATGTCAAACAAAACTGGATTTTTTGAAGCTGCAGGAGACCTACTTTTAAAATTTATACTTTAAGTCTTATTTTTCATTTCTATAAATTATTTGATTTTTTTAAAATTATGACTTCTTTTGGAAGAGTGGAAACTTTTTGTGGTTTTGATTTCTTATTTTGTCTTTAAACATAGTCATTTAATATTATTGGCTTTAATCTCCTGCTTCATTTGTCTTCTTTTCCTTGCTCATTGTGAATTATTTCCTTGGGTGTTTTGTTAATTTATCATTATGGAGATTCTTCATATGTGTACTATAAATTCCATTCCAAACATTGGTGATATGCAGGTTACTACTTAGTTTAACAATCTCAAAGGAGACTTACTATTTTAAATTTAGAATCCAGTATGAGATAGTTCAGCTTTTTAAAAAACAATTTTCTTATAACAATGGACATACTTAATTTTTCTAATCCACCTTTGAAGGGTTCTGTCTTTTGAGAGAATCGGATTTCTTATTTGTCTCAGTTCTAACTCTAAAAGCTTTGTTTCCTGTCCCTTAATTCTTTGATTTATTATTTTCCAATTTGGGCTCCTCCACAAACTCTCCGTGTGAGCTTGGGTAAGTCATTTTCCCATTTGGGTCACAGTCACCCTATTTTTAAATGAGAACTGGGTAAAATGATGAAATGACCCATCAGGTCTTTGGCAGTGCTAACGTGCTAAGAGTCTAGCCTTCATCAAATTTGGAAACTGTTTCCAGAAAAGAAAGTTCAATGTCCTTTATGAACTGTTCCATGGCAAGGATGTAGCTCAGTGTGAGGTGAACTCAATACTCATCTCCTTGGACTGGGAACTGATAGGCACCCGGCAGAGGATTTATCTCAGGATTTTTCCTCTTTGGTTTTCCTGACCCCACACCAGTCCATTCAGGAGCTATTGGCAGTTTGGTTTCTTTTTATTACTTCCTCACAGTTCACCTTTGGACTTGGCAAAGTCAGCAGTTATGACAAGGGTGTGAACGCCAATCACACAGCTTCATTTCCAGAATAACCAACTTAAGTGCTGTTCGGTGCTTATACTGGAATAGAAACCCGACTTGGCTAATTTTTACAACTCATTTTAAAAGAACTATAAGAATGTCCTTCTGGAATTTTAATGCACATTTTATTTTGTTTTCTTGTGCAGAAGGAATACATTTTTTTAAAAAAAATTTGTAGGTAAATGAATGAAGTTGGGAAATGTAATGCTAAGTGAAGTTAACCAATCCCCAAAACCCAAATGCTTACTGTTTTCTCTGATATAAGGAGGCTGATTCATACTGGGGTTGGGAGGGGAAGCACAGGAGGAATAGACGAACTCTAGATAGGGCAAAGAGGAGGGAGAGTAAGGGAGTGGGCAAGGGGTGTAAAGGATGGGGAATGAGATGGACATCATTACCCTAAGTACATGTATGAAGATACAAATGGAGTGAATGAATATACTTTGTATACAACCAGAGATGTGAAAAATTGTGCTCTATATGTGTAATATGAGTTGTAATGCATTCTGTTGTCATATACAACAAGTTAGAATTAAAAAATAAAATTAAGATAAAAGTTTAATAAAAAATTGAAGAGAATAAAAGAATATAAAGAAAGGAAAAAAGAGAAAACACATTCATATTCCTAACATTTCAAACCAGCCAGTATCATCATTATAGTGTGGTTCTTTTCTTAGAACTTGATTTTTATTTATTTATATGCAGTGCTGAGAACTGAACTCAGTGCCTCACACATGCTAGGCAAGCACTCTACCACTGAGCCACCACCCCAGCCCCCTAGTGTGGTTCTTTTTACTCTCTCAATTGTTTTTATTTTTTTAAAAAGTGTTATGACTATATTTGTGTATCCTTTTTGGAGTAAATGTATTGCTATCGAGTGGGGTCACTATTGTTTGACTCACTGTTGTTCTAAGTTTCTCCAAACTGACAGCATATAATTCTATATCTGATGGGATATAACTGTACCTAAATTACTACAAAAATTGTTGGGGTATAATCATAACATCAACTTAGAGATGACAATTGAAATGAGAGAGACAAGAAGGATCTTCAGTATTGGTGAATTCTATTGTTATTCCCATGTATTTTTAATTCTTCTTCAACAGCACTGACCAATGGCTAACAAGGCTTCATTTTCCTGTTTTACTTCTTCTTTATCATCTTCAATTTCTTCTCCTAGATAATGGGAGGTCAGATTGGTTTTGAAAATAATATCTCCATGGAGGAGATGAGATAGGGAATGCAGTGGTGATGAGCAGATTTGGGTTCTAATTATATGATCCTAAGCAAGTAGTTTCTTCATTCTGAGACTCAGCTTCCCCATTTGTAAAATTAGGGGGCCATGAATGAGAGCTCATTAAGATCTCTATGTGCTCCTTGTTCCGAGGCTTTCCTTCTCTCTTTTGACATTTTTGGCATTTGGGATTTACATTAGGAAGTGGAAGGGAAGGAGAGAGGTCAGTGCAACATGCAAAGGATAAAAATAAAACAAAATAAAAAATGCAAAACATTTTTAATTTTTAGCTGTAGCTGAGTGCCTTGGATCTGTTGGGGAATGTCCATTGCTGAGCTCTGTGTTGTCCTCCACTTTGAAGACAGTGAGTGGCCCCTCCTCTTCCTGGGCGATGAATGCTTCCCCAGGTTAGATTTTTTTTCTTCATTGTCTTTCTTTAAGATATCAAAGAAGGCTCATCTTATGTCCTACAACAAAACAGAAGTGGTCATATGCATGGCCAGTTCAGATTGCTTATGCTTCTTGGATGATTGTTCCTAAATTCCAAACTATTATGAATCATCAAGTTCAAACAAGCTCAGCAACTCTAAACTGTTTCAAGCACACTCCAATTATTGCATGAAAGTCTGATTGCTGAGACCAAAGCTCACAAGCTTTATGATCAGCTGTACTAATGGATGATGGAAGAACTTCTCTAAGTGATGACGAACTTCTCTAAGGGATGAACACTTCAACACTACATGGCTCAAATCTCAGTTTACCAGGGTTCAGTGTGGGCATTACTTTAAGAACATAGGTGCTGTATGCAGCAGGCAAACCCTTGTGACCCTGGGAGGGTCTTGACAACTTGCTGGCCCATGCAGCCCAGACCCTCTCCATGGTCCTGATCTCGTGTGGCCCCTGAGCTGCATGTGGCAGCTCTGACATCACCTCTTCTTGGGAGTTCTCCTCCCTGGCCCTCTGTGATGCCTGCACTCGTTCTCCTCACTGGCTCTCACTCTTTCTCCATTTCTTTGGAATTCCCCAAAGTTGGGCCCTCAGCTCCTCGCCACGCTTCTCGTTGTATTGTCCCCTGACTCATTTCTCCAACTCTCCCACCTGTACTAAAGTCTTATCTGTTGTTGTTCCCCCATCATGAACTCTAGAACTCTGACTCCCTTTGGCCCCTATTGCTGCTTGCCGGGCCTGTTGTAATAGCCTCCTTGCTGGCCTCTGTGCCCCCAGCCTTTCCTTCATGTTTCTGAAACTGATGAATATCTGCAGAAACAGTTCCTCAAACAGCTTCTGTCACATCACACGTGGGCTCAAAAACTTACATCAGCTGTCCTGCTACCACGGAGGGCTGAGCCTCTTAGTTTTGCCCCTGAGGTCCTCTACCTATGGCCATGACCTCCCTAGACATCCTTATTTCCCACCACTTCCCTTCCCAGTTCTTCCCTCCCAGCCACCTGGACTCACTGGAGTCCCTCAACCATGCCTTGGGCTTTCCTGCCCCATCACTGTGGACAACACCATCCTCCTCACCCGACCTGGCTCCTACTTTTCTCCTCTCTACTTCTTAGTAGCTTCCATGTCCCAGCACAAATTCAGCCCTTGAACCTCCAATCCTGGTGGTGCTTGCTCTCCCCAGTATGAAAACCACTCTCTCTTGTCACCTCCTTCTGCTCAACAATGTCCACAGTGTGGCCGGGACTCAAAGATGTTTAGACCCCACCCTTGCCTTCGGGGGGGCTCCAACAGGGAGAGATCAGCACACAGATCAGGACAATGTTATGTTCAGGGTAAAATCCTGGAGTTCAGAGAGGAGGGAAGGATGACTTGCCTGATGGAGGTAGGGAAGGAGGTAGGCCACGGGGTTCTCAGCAGCGTGACGCAGTGGAACGAGCAGAGAGCCATGCTGGAATTCCTGCTTCACAACTTACCATCCCCTACCCTCTGTGCCTTGGTTTGCCATCTGTAAAATGGGAATGATATCATCATTTGCCTTGAAGGGTTGGGGTGAGGAGTGACAAGATAGTGTTTGTGAAAAGTGTCCAGTAGCAGCCTGAGCAGGTTCTTGGGAAGTGCAAGCCCTGTCTGACCACATTCTGCACGGTGTCCAGTACACTGCCTGGGATAAAGTCCGATCCTGGTAGATGCCTGTGATTTGGTTGCTAGACATTATCACAGGAAGCAGGGCTATTATTATTATTATTATTATTATTATTATTATTATTATTATCAGGAAGCAGGGCTGTGAGGACCTCGGCTGTTTTAACTGTTCTATAAAACATCCACTCCTTTTTTTTGAGAACCATGAATTTAGCACTTGGAAATTTGAACTAGCAAAAGATACACAGGCAGTACCTATGCTTTTGCATTTCTTCAAGGAGAGCCAGAATCTTGCCCAGGAGTCAGGGCCCTCACGCCAGGTGATAGAGCAGCAATCCTGTCCCTGGACCCGCCACACCCAACTAATGAAGGCCAGGGCTTTCATGAGTCCAGTTCTTTGAAGCCACACCACGAAGCTCTTACTTCATGACGCACGGGCATGGTGGAGAGTCCTGACTTAGGGAGAAGCCCAAGTAAAGTCTTTTATGAGGTGAGGGACTCTTCTGAGGAAACACATAACAAGCAGAAGGGAAGGGCTTTGACGATCACCAAATGAGCACAAAGGAAAAAGGGCTGCCTTACACGTCCACACCCTCCGTGGAGCAGGTATAAAGGCTCAACCAGGGAAGGAGACCCACAGCGCTGTGGCTTGCACGACTTGCATTCTGTCTTCAACCGGACACCTCGCACCCTCCCAGCACCATGCCTTACAACTGCTGCCTGTCCAACGTGAGCTGCCGCAGCAGCTGCTCCTCCCGGCCCTGCGTGCCCCCCAGCTGCCATGGCTGCACCCTGCCCGGGGCCTGCAACATCCCCGCCAACGTGGGCAACTGCAACTGGTTCTGTGAGGGCTCCTTCAACGGCAGTGAGAAGGAGACCATGCAGTTCCTGAACGACCGGCTGGCCAGCTACCTGGAGAAGGTGCGCCAGCTGGAGAGGGAGAACGCGGAGCTGGAGGCCCGCATCCAGGAGCGGAACCAGCAGCAGGACCCCTTGGTGTGCCCCAGCTACCAGTCCTACTTCCGGACCATCGAGGAGCTCCAGCAGAAGGTGAGGGGCGGGCACCATCGTGTTCTTAGCAGGAGGTTGTTGGAAGAAGAACATCCTAGCTGCAATTCAGAAACCATAGGAATTCCTGGGTCGATGGGAAGGTTGACGACTGGCCTTTATTTTGTGTCTTGGGGACTCATCTACTTTTAGACTTGGGCCTATTAGGTCTGAATATTGGTGTAGAGTTAGTTTAGGTGAAAATAGTAGCACTTCAGATAAAGAAGCTGTTATTTAAAGCTGTCTCTGAATGCTTCCATGTATTTCTAAGCTCCAGAATTATTACCCCGAGGTGAAAGAAAAGAACTGAGCTGGAGAAGAAAACGAAGCAAATGGATTAGGTCATTTTTCTCTCTCCCTCAAGTGGGCATTGGGCTGCTCTGATCTCTGGTTATCTCCCTCTTCTGGACACTGAATTATCCCGACTCCATTGTCCTGACCTGGATGTCTCTGGGATCCTACTGGTGTCCAGTGTTCAGTGAAGGGGTAAAAAATGGTTGGTTAAACCCAGAAAGATTGGAAATGATGTAGGAGGAAATGGTACCAAGTCATTTTGATGGCCAGGAGAGCATGGCAGACTCCCTGGTACAGCCCCTTGTAGCTCCTAATTTATATATTTATCTTCCCTTCTCAGTTGAAAGTATCTTGAGGGCAGGATTCACATTTTAATAAATATGAATTGTTATCAGTTTTTCAGTATTGCTTATCAGGAAAGGAAAAAAAGGAAGATAACTTGCTGATATTTTCTTTGTGTATTTCAATTTTTTTTCAAATATAGTTTCTAAAATATTTATTGAGCACCTATTGTACACCAATAGCACTTCATAGTGTTATATAAGATACATTATGACTTCTTATTTTGATCCTCCCATGGAGTGAATTAGTCGAGATTGCCATTGGCAAAAATAACCAAGCCCTTGCTTATTTGAGAATGTTTTGGTGCTTCCAGATCCTGTGCAGCAAGTCTGAGAATGCCAGGATGGTGGTGGAGATTGATAATGCCAAGCTGGCCTCCGATGACTTCCGAACCAAGTGAGTGGGCAAGTTGGGTTTTGCTTATTTTTCTGCTCTTCCCTCTCTCTGCTCCCTTAACCTGTTGACAACACTGACACACATCGACCAAGCTGTTCTCCAGATGTTTCCCCACCATCCACAGAGCTCTTTCTCACTAGACCTTGGAGATCCCTCTTCCTGGCCTCCAACCCCTTCCTCTTCCTCTTTCTCCTCTCTAGAGAGTAATCCCCAATCACAGGGTTCGCCAGTGTAGATAGCATGGTCCTTTGACATCCTGCTGAGCGCAGAACTCATGAGAATGTGGGAAATGTATCTCCCTTGGAAACCTCACAGTTCATGGGATTTTGTCCTCCTTAGTCCACGGGTTCCTTAACAAAATAATTGCCGGTGAATTTTTCTCCAGGACCTACTGCTAGGTACTGAAAACCTAAATGACCAGGATGGTTTTAAGAACCACTAAACCTAATTTCTAGTTTTCTGATCAACCAAAATCAAAGCAAAGTCAAGGCCAGGTGTATTCCTGTGATCCTCCTCTGGTCACAGGTACGAGACGGAGCTGTCCCTGCGGCAGCTGGTGGAGTCGGACATCAACGGCCTGCGCAGGATCCTGGACGAGCTGACCCTGTGCAAGTCTGACCTGGAGGCCCAGGTGGAGTCCCTGAAGGAGGAGCTGCTCTGCCTCAAGCAGAACCACGAGCAGGTGATGTTCCCTAAAGCACTGTCAGGATCCGGCTCGACAGGGCTTGTGTCCAACCGCCTCGGGCTGTGGGAGAAGCTGTGGGTTGAGGTTCCATTAGCTCAAGAAACTATTCTCCCAACAAAAAGGGATTTCTTTGTAGAGAATGAATAATGTAAAAATCTGAGATAGGAGATTAGGATTTCTCTGCCAGGGGCGGAAACGAGGATGAAGGAAGTTGGCCAGCTCCACCATGAGGACAGGTCATCGATATGCAGCCACAGGACCTCTTCTGTGCCCAAGTCAGGCCACAAGCTGCAGTCATTTTGTAACTGTCCATTTTGTAACTGGAGAGGGCAGGATGGCCTAGGGCCACCAAGCTGAGAGAGCTGAGCCAGAAACCAAATGCAACTGTCCTCATTCCTATCCAGAGCCCTTTTTGTTATTCAGCGTTGCTTGGAAGAAACATGGGATAAAATGCTCCCCATCACTGGCCAGTCACTTGCACACCGAACAGACATTTGCAAACCTTAAACCCCAGAACAATGTTCATGGGGACTGTTAATATTAGTTGAGAGCTTATTTTCTACCAGACATTATGCTAAGCCTGTTAGAGTTCCAGAGGTAGTTCTTGAAAACGAAGAAATGGAAGATTCCAGAAGCTTCTAGAGTTGTATTGTGAGTGGTAGAGACGACACACAATTCAAATCTACCTGATATCCATCTAAACCCGAGTACCAAGCTCTGTGAAGAGATTAGCAGTGAAGTGAACAGATATTGATTTTCTTCAGCATATTCTAACACTGGTAGAAATCAGCAAATCACCAAGTCCGTTCTATTCTAAGATGGCAGATTTTGAAGTAAGCATTCTTTATTTTATCTTTAGCTAGACTTTGTCTTTTTATTGCCCATGCTTAGGAATCAGACTTAAGATACTCTGAGATATTATAGCAATATGGGCTTCCAGGGATCAGAACTTAAATCATGGCCAACCATGTCTCAGCTCTGAGACCAAATGGCCACACTTCTCTAAAAAAGAGGTGGTACAATAAATCTAAAGGGCAGGAGGTCCTGGGCCTGAAGGCCCTTTGTGAAGTGGAACACACACACAGATCAGTCACTGAATGTAGGAGCTGGTCAGCGAGGTCAGAGGGAGCCGAACTGGTTGTAAACTTAAGAATGATTAGAAGTTAAATTGCATTTATTCAAGGACAGACCAAGATCCTTCGTGATATTTAAAATTATTATCCCCTCCCTCCATCAGGAAGTCAACACCCTGCGCTGCCAGCTTGGAGACCGCCTCAACGTGGAGGTGGACGCTGCCCCCACCGTGGACCTGAACCGTGTGCTCAATGAGACCAGGAGTCAGTACGAGGCCCTGGTGGAGACCAACCGCAGGGAAGTGGAGGAGTGGTTCACCACCCAGGTGGGCATCCGAGCACCTGACCACTCGGGACCTAAGGCCCCAGGGCCCTTAGGGCAGGGTCTGATCCTGTCTCCTCCCCTTGGGTGTTTCAGACTGAGGAGCTGAACAAGCAGGTGGTATCCAGCTCAGAGCAGCTTCAGTCCTACCAGGCAGAGATCATCGAGCTGAGACGCACGGTCAACGCCCTGGAGATCGAGCTGCAGGCCCAGCACAACCTGGTGTGTATTGTTCAGACCAGCTGGTGAGCAGTGTGAAGTCGGGGAGGCAGACTCACCTGTGGGCCTCAGCTCCGGAAGCTGGTGACTTCTTTGGAAGCAGTTTTGAAGGAGCAGCTCCTGACACTCCCTTTGTTCTCTCCCCCACCACAGAGGAACTCTCTGGAAAACACGCTGACAGAGAGCGAGGCCCGCTACAGCTCCCAGCTGTCCCAGGTGCAGTGCATGATCACCAACGTGGAGTCCCAGCTGGCCGAGATCCGGGCTGACCTGGAGCGTCAGAACCAGGAGTACCAGGTGCTGCTGGACATCCGGGCCCGTCTGGAGTGTGAGATCAACACGTACCGGGGCCTGCTGGACAGCGAGGACTGCAAGTGAGTGCAGGGCTACTGATCCTTTCTTTGGGACATGTGAGGTTGCGGTGGCGGTGAAGCGTCTTCCTGATGGAAATGGCTTATCATTTCATGCTGTAGGGTGACATTGTGACTCAAAATGCTTTTAGTGTCTTATTCCTTTAGCCCATTTTATTCTAATTTGTTCCAATGATTTTTATGTCACCAGACTTCCCTGTAATCCCTGTGCCACAACCAATGCGTGCGACAAGCCCATTGGGCCCTGTGTCTCCAATCCCTGTGTCACACGATCTCGGTGTGGGCCTTGCAGCAATTTTGGGCGCTAGAGGCCCCACTGCCAGGAGGAGGACAAGGACTTCAGTCACATCTCAACTCCAACAATGACCACACCAGACAAAGGAGAAACCCTTTATCACAGCAGCTCCTTGAGCTCAGCTCTGACTTTCCACTGCGTCTCCTGGTCTGAGTCTCCAGCACAGGACAGTGCAGAGCCTGTCTTTTGAGTCACACACAGAGATCTACAACAGGATCAAGTAATTACTGTCACAATGACACATTTGCGCAACGTGTTATGTGTCGGCAAAACTTATCTAAATGCAATTTGAAAATGATGATATTAAGTGTGGTACAGCTGCTGGGCTGCTTGTGCAACAGAACATAACTGGACTTAATCTTCTTTGTCACACTTTTGGATTTTGGCGATGTAATAAAAATCCTTTGTTAATCCTCCTAATAAACTTATTCTGGCACGGAAATTATAGTTGTATGTTTCATTCATAAATTCCAAAATTGGCTGCCTTTTATCTATAAAGAGTACCCAGTGTTTTTCCATTAGATGAAAGTATTCAACTTGATACATGGTCTGTGATTTCCTTCAAAGGAAAAGTCCCCACTGGACATCACCTGTCAATCCCCCCCCCCTTTTTTTTAACCTGGATTGAACCCAGTGGCACTTAACCACTGAGCAACATCCCCAGTCCTCCCTCCCTCCCTCCCCCTTCCTTCCTTCCTTCCTTCCTTCCTTTCTTCTTCTTATTATTATTTGGGGCATGAGGGATTAAACTAAGGGGCACTCAACCACTGAGCCACACCCCCAGCCCTATTTTGTATTTTATTTAGAGACAGGGTTTCACTGAGTTGCTTAGCACCTCGATTTTGCTGAGGCTGAACTCACGATCCTCCTGCCTCAGCCTCCTGAGCTACTGGGATTACAGGTGTGCATCATCGTGCCTAGCTCACCTGCCAATCTTGATAAGCACTAGAATAAGCAGAGCAGGGTGATCCATGCAGGTTGAGGTGATGGTGGTGACCATGGTCAGCACTGGTTTGTACAGGAGATGACATCTGAGTTGAGACCTGCAACCTGAGAAGAAACAGATCAGAGGGAAAGAGCCTTCCTTCCAGACAGAGGAACCAGAAAGTCAAGAGTGGAAACGAAGCTGATGCCTTTGAAGGAGGTGAGGGAGGGCCAGCTTGTCTGTGGTGATGAGCTGGGAAGGGGTGGGCAGTGCCTGGGGATCGGGGGAGGACCTGACTTTATTTGAAGTGAAGCTTTGGCAGAGTTAAAAGGATGGACTGATTGACAGCTTTATTAAAGGGAGTGCTTGGGTGGCTGAGTGGGTGTAGGTGTTCTGAACGTCCCTGTTGGAGGCGTTGGGGTTGTAGATGACAATGACAAGTCAACTGTGTTGTTTTGTTTGGTTTCATAGAGTCACTGACATCTAACCGCTGCTCACATTCCTCATCAGAAACAGGGAAGTCAATAAAGTGCCAAAAACTACAAGGATTGCTCAAACTTGAAGAAGATACGGTCATGATGTGGCCTGCCCGGGTCATTGAGAAACTCATGCCCGGCCTTGCCTGGCCTCTAAGCCCGCTGCAGGTGTGCGAAGGCAGCCTGCTCTCACTCTCGCTTTTACTGCATGCAGGGACAAGCACCCGTCTTAAGTGTAAAGACCAGGGAAGATTTACAGCTTCCTCAATGACATATTTATAAGAAACTCAAAGCGCTCGGCAGTGGCCGGGACATGTTGGCATGTACCCGAGATGACTTTATGTGGCAGCACCAGTGAGGTGAGTGGCCACCCTGGTGAACTAAAAGCTTGGGGTGTGACACGTTGGAACGCGTGTGTTTAAGGTTTTAAAGATGGTCAAAAGGTGAAAAGGGCCCTGTGTCTCCAATCCCTGTATCACACAATCTCAGTGGGGGCCACAGGCTTGAAAGGACTCCTTTCAGTTTCGATCAAAGCTATAACCTGTCTCTGGAGCTCAGCCCTCAGTGTGGTGTGTGGCCTTTCTGAGCCTCAATTTCTTAAGCTATAAAATGGGGGAATAATGATCACCTCGTTGCTTTAATCTTTCAAAAATAAAAGATGGAAGGAGAGTATGCTGTTCAAAGCTAACCCAACACTTGATGCAAAGGACGTGCTCAGAAAACAGAGTTTCTGTATGCTTCTGTAGGGACCCTGAGGAAATTGTGTTTTTATGTCCTCATCCCTTTTCCTATTGCTCATGACAGAGAATCCGAATCCTTAAGATTTAAAATTTTGCTGACCCAACCCATTTGAACCCAGGTGGAAACCTGGTCTCAAGTTCTCTTGAGTTGAGGGCCACCAAGGGGGTGGATGGGACAAGAAATCGATAGATCTGACCTCCAGGGCTGAGAACTGGGGAGAAATGAATTCAGATGTGTGTGTGTGTGCACACCGGCCCACGCATGGATGTACAGCAGCGAATGTGCGTGAACTCGTGTGTGCACGTGTATGTGTTGTGTTGGGAGGAAGATCCTGCTCCCTTCCTCCTAGTATGATCATGATAATTATTCTGGTAATAACTTCATATCTGCTCTTGCTGACTCCATTGCTGGTTGGTTGTGGAATCTGGCTGGCTGGTAACTGCAGAGAAAAATTTGAGAGAAGGTTGCTTATCAGTATCTTGGATGCTGGGAGCAGAGCTGTGGGTGGTCCACGGGTCAAAGAGCCAGGCAGGGTGGACAGACAGAGGTCACCTCCACAGGCGCTGCTGCAGGCTGCAGGGTAAACACAATTACATACCAACCCAGAGTGAAGTCCCTCTGAGAGGGGCAGACTCTGGGGGTGGAGGAGAGGACAAAGATGAAAGAGTTTCAAGTCTGTTCTTGATAAATGCTCAGTTAGGTTCCTTGCCTGAGGCAGCGTATCTTGAACAGAAATGCAGGGATACACACAGGTGGGCTGGTGGAAGGGAGCTATTCCCTGGTTGAGAGATAGATGGGCTGGGGAAGCACCCAGAATCTTGCAGGCAAGATACGGTAAGCTCTCTTTGGCTTTGGATGCCAACGATTTTAGAAAATCCCATGTTTGCCTTACTGCTACGCACTGACTGAGGGTTTGTGTTCATGCTCTGAGGCTGGTACTGGAAAGAAATGTAGGGGGAAGAGAGGAAGGAGGAGGAGGAAAGGGAAGAAGCAGGAGAGGGAGAGACCAGAAAGGAAGGAGGGAAGAAGGAAGGAGGAAGGAGAAAGAGGGGGAAAAAAGAAAAAGAAACAAAGGAAGTTTATTCTGTAACAATTTGTAAATTGTCAGTTTGTCACTTGGTCTCTGTTGGCCCTGTGTCTGCCATGACCTTGTCTTCCCCTCCCATTTCTCATCCCATATTGACTCCTTGGATTTACTAGAGTTACCTTTTCTAGTTCTGTCCTTTGGTGTCTGCAGGACATCATTTGCCCCTCCTCTCTAGCTTGGCCTCTGGGTCTTGGCCTCCCAGCAAGGTCTTTAGGACCCATGTGGGTCATTAGTGAATAAGAGCAAGGCTGCCTGATGGGGTGGATGGAGCCACACAGGTGCCTGGTCTTCAGCTTCTGTGTACTCTGGAGCTTTGCGAAATTCCTAACGAATGCATATGGCAGTCTCTCCACAATCATGCATCCAGGCCATTACCTCCACTAGATTAGCCCTCAAGTCAGCTAATTTAAATAACTTCGAAGATTTTTCACATTTAAAAACTGATTCGGCAAGGGCTGGGGAGGTAGCTCAGTGGTAGAGCGCTTGCCTAGCATCCCTGGGTTCAATCCCCAATATGGAGGTGGGTGGCGGGGGGGCAAATGATGATTCTTGCAGTGCATTAATGACAGGCACATAGGAGGAAATACACCAGGTGCTCAGCTAATAATTTATAACATACCTGCTTGATATTAATAGCCCACCTAGGGCAGATGAAGAAATGAAGCACAAAGAGGTGGCTCGAGTCATGTCATGCAGCAAAAATGTTCTCATTTATCGACGGAAGGTGCACTTTGGTGACTCTGAGAAGAGCAGGGAACAGGCAGACACATGAGTAACTTTTTCTGATGAGAAAGGAGTAATCCGTTTTCTCTTAACCAGGTCACCGTGTTCTTTGAAGGTGATGACTTATTCCGACATTAACAACCGTGAGATTCATAGGATTAGGCATGAAACTTCATTCTGAAAGAACTTTGGTGATGAGGATAGAGTTACAGAAAGCAATTTTTGAATCATGTTCAGTACAAAAGAGAAATTAAGAACTTAAGTGATTTGACTACACGCTAGTTGAATGCATGCCAAGAGTGTTTCCAGTGCTTCTCCAAATGCTTAAGGGGAGATCTAGAAAGTCTCCAGGCACACTCTGGTCATGGTGGTGCTCAGGGACCCAGCCTTAGCCTTGTTCTTACTGCTCCTCCCTCTGGAGAACTGGGTATCTCTGGCTAGACATAAAGCTCCAGGGGCTTTTGAACAAAAAGGTATCCTTTCTAGAAAGTTCTGGATTCTAAAGAATTCTTTTTTTTTTTTTTTGTGAGTAGTGGGTTAAAATGATAAGGAATATAGACCTGGTGGGGGAAAACAAAAACAAAAACAAAACCCAGCAAGCCTTTTGGTTAGACTAAGGAGTTCTCTCAAACTCACACTAATCACATATCCAAGTAAGTAAGTTGATTGAAAAATACCAGTTCATATTTATACCTAGATCTAAGAAAAATCTTGGATTCACATACATGTTGGTAGAATCATAAAATGTAACAAGGATAATCCATGATTTGTATTTGTCTCTGGGAAGAAGAGATCTGAATGAGAATAAGTATGAAAACCAAGGAAGTCCTCAACGTTACCTCTCATCCCATCTTTATTTGATTTTAAACCCACTTAGAGTGAACACGGGAAATGCCAACAGCCACAAAACCTTGGTAGCACTAGTTTAAAATACATCTTCTCTGTTATTTTTTTTGCATCAATCAGAGTAGGCAAGTTTACAGTTACCCCAGTAACAAACAATCCCCCCTTTTCCCAAATCTTCTCGGAACAAGAGTTTATTTCTTGCTCAAGTTCTAGGTCCCACGTGAGTAGGAGGACTCTAACCATTGTACTTCTCTAGATCTCAGGCTAGCAGTGGCTCTGACTCTAGAAATTTCCACATAGCTGCTTGGCAGGGTTAAGAAAAAGGGCACTGGCTCATAAAGCTTCATTCTGGAAGTCAACACACTTCACTTCCATTCACAGGTTATTAGCGAGTCACTTGGTCAGTTTCCAAGTAGACAGAACTCCAGTACATTGCTGCCATGTTCTTGAAAGGAAAAGAGAACTATTTGGTGAATAGCAATGAGGATCACCATATTCACTTTCCTTGGGAATATTATTTATAGGAATTGTCATGGTGAAATGATGGTGTGTTTCCCCCAAAGGATTGGCATTTATGCCATTTATGTCTGCCAGTGTATTGGGGACACTTCCATACAGAGGTCTCTTTATATTCATGGTCTGGATTTTTTTTTTTTTTTTGAATCATCCAGATAATGCATAAAACAAGTTTCCTTATAGGGTAGGGTCCTGATGGTGAGAGTGGGAGGGCTGAGTTTCTTTCTGGGTCACTGTAAAACAAGGGTGTGGCCCATTGGAGGAGGGTCTCCTAGAGGTGTCTCTATCCTGGGTGGCTCCTGGAGTCTGTCTTCTGTTTCTGTCTCCCTGAGAAGGTATAAAGACTGTGATTTAAGGGCTGGGTATGTGGCTCAAGCGGTAGCACGCTCACCTGGCATGCGTGCAGCCTGGGTTCGATCCTCAGCACCACATACAAACAAAGATGTTGTGTCTGCCGATAACTAAAAATAAAAATAAATATTAAAACTTAAAAAAAAGACTGTGATTTAAGTTTACCAAGTTCAGTAAATGCCCTTGGAGGAGAAGCAGCCTCAGTGCTCAGTTTGCCTGTTACTGTTACTTTGGTGATGATTATTTTTAGTAGTTCATCTCTCTTGTCTGCGTACACACACACACACACACACACACACTAGGATTTAAACCCAGGGGCACTTACCACTGAGCCACATCCCTAGCCCTTTTTTATTTTTTACCTTGAGACAGAGTCTTGCTAAGTTGCTTAGGGCCTTGCTAAGTTGCTGAGGCTGGCCTTGAAATTGTGATCCTCCTGCCTTAGCCTCCTGAGTTGCTGAGATTACAGGCATGGGCCATTGTGCCTGGCTTTTTGATATTTTTAAGAAGATTTTAATTTTTTTTAAGTATAGCATATCCCCTCCATTACATACACAGCCCATGAAGGAGCATGGGTTGGAGAAAATTAACAAGCACCACCCTGGCCAGGTGATCAAGGTAACACCAGCAATGGTCAGTCAAGCTGACAGGGTCAGCCCTTACCATGATGTGAAGCACTGACACTCTACCTCTGTGATCTTCCTCCAAAACCGAACCCCAGTCTCACCACGAGAAAAAAACCTCAGAAAAATCCCGGTTGAAAGACACTGCAAAATCCCTGCTCCAAACCCCTCAGCCATTGGAGTCTTCAAGAGCAAGGAAGGTCCAAGGAACTCCACAGCTCGGGGAACCGAGGAGGAGGCACAGTAGCTGGATACAATGTGGGTTCCTGGGTGGGATCCTAGGACAGGAGAAGGACACGGCACAGAAACTAAGGACACGTGAACAAAATGTGGACTTAATTAACAATAAGGTACGAGTACTGGTGTACTTGCGGTGACAAAGAACGTGCACCAAAATGTAAGATGTCAACAGGGGCACGGGATTGAGGGACCCTGGAACATTCTATATCTCTACAAACTTTCCATAAATTTGAAACTATTCTAAAATTTTAAAATAAGTAATTAATCACATAAAAATTTATAGCATATTTGGTTGATTAATCTAAAGATCCTAGCCTGCCACAGCATCTGGAATACAACATATGTAGTTGTTCTGTTTGATACGGGAGCTAGTAGTCTCCTGTGGCCATTTCCATATAAATGGGTAACATTAAATGAATCTAAAATTTTAGTTTCTTCATCACAATAGCCACGTTTCAAGTATTCAGTGGCCACAGGCAGCTGGTGGCTACCCTATTGGGCAGTATAATTCACAACATTTCCATTACTGGAGAACATTCTATTGCACAATGCTGCTTCCAGATCCAAGATTGAGAGGAGCAGTGATTGGCAATGATGACAGGTGGAGGGTAACAGGGACCCCAAAGTCCTTGAGTTGACACTAGAAGGCCATCTCACATTCAGTTACAATTCTATTTATTTAGCAGGTATTTACTGATTCCCCAGTCTACAGTAGCCACTGTAACTTGGTGAATGAAACAGCCATGGTGGCTGTGTCTCTGTCATTGTCCAACTTAGAATCCCTTGCAGATACTCTGAACTGAGGGCTGGTCTTCAGACAGACAGGTAATATTCTGTGGATCTCTTAGGAAAGCCAGACACAGAAGAAGGAGGATGGGCTTCGGAAGCACCCAGATTTGGATTTGAATGCAAGCTCTGTATCTTCTACTTAAAATACGTGCCCTCCACAAGCCTCCGTTTTCTTATGTACAAAGTAAGAATGGGCTGGCAGCATAACTCAGTGGTAGAGCACTTGCCAAGCATGCAGGAGGCCCTGGGTTCAATCCCCACAGCCATAAAACAACCAATCAACAAACCACAGAAACAAAGGGAAAATATGAACTCTTATTGTACATAGCTATCTCAAATTTTAAGCAAGAAAACACATATAAGATGCCTAACGCAGAGCCTAGCATGTGGCTGGTGCTGATACTGTGCCTCCTTTGCACGGTATGGTTAATTGGAAACATTATTTAAGTCAGTGCTATGTAAATATAGTGATTTCTCATGTCAAACCAAATTTTTGTGTCATTGCTTCTGGGGAAACCAGCATGAGAACCCATCTTGTGAGCATCTCTGAAAACAACAGAAAATCCCTAAACCACTAGAAAGTACCTGTGTAAAGCCCTCAGGTGAACACTAGAGGACACCAGAACAGAGGGCATGCCTGGGTTTTGATGACCTCAGCATCCCGTTCTTGCGCAAGCATTCATTTACTTAGGGCACTGGGGTTCTCCAATTAGGAAAAGTAAGACACTTAAAAACAAACAAACAAACAAAAAAAACAGTATCTTCCACACACCAGAACAGATTCCTGACAGGTAATATCATTAAGTATTAAAAAAATGCAACCATAAAAACTAGAAAAAATAAAGTGAACAGATGTCTGATTTGAGGATGGGGAAAGAACTTTTGAAACATAAAAGTTGCAAGAAGAAAACAAGAAATGGATTTGTTCACATAGACAGAAAAGTCTGTGCATAGACCCAATTAAAAGGACAGCCTGGGACAAATTTTGCAACCTGTGTAAGTGACACAGTACAAAAGTGATCACTTTGCATAAAGTTAGATCTTATAATTGAATTAGGAAAGATGAATAGCTTAATTAGAAAAATCAGAAACAGGTCACTTCCTAAAGGAGAAATAGCAAACTATGAAACAAATGCCCGAATAATTAAATAAGTACAAATAAAACACTACAGTATAGAATTCACGATTAGCCTATGCAACTGACAAGGAGTTTTAAAAAATTATATGTGATTGGTATTGGTGAAAGCACTGTGAAATGGACACAATTGGGGACAATTTTCTGGAGAGGGATTTAAAAGTATTTATTAATGTCATTACAATTACTAACCTGCCTAAGGGCTCAGTAGTTCCATTTTTTAGGAATTTATTTGAGGGAATAAGAAATATGTAAAATTCACATTTAAAGAATTTCTTAGTGTTTTGCTTTTAATATTGAAAAACTAGAACCAACATGTATATCCAATAGCAGGGAAGGCTTATATCAACTTGAAAATAGAAATTCTCATATTTAACCATCAATATACTCATGAACATGTTCTCAGGTTAAGTATGATATTCAGTATACAAATCAAATTGTATGTGATTTAATTGCGAAAAAATATGAGAGAGATTCCTGGGTGTTAATTTTGTTCTGCACTTTCTTTGACTGTTGCTCTTTCTTCATGACATGGGCAGTAGTGGGGACTTTATAGTCATTACTCCCAGGGTGGGGTTATTACTAAAGTGAGAGGCAGCCCTTAGGTTAGGCAATTCAAAGTAGATTTTGCAGTTAGAAGAGAGTGACAGTCTGAGTTTACATAGAACTCCGACTCCTCTCTCCCCATAAACTGGAATGAAATATATTTAAGTGATTTTTGAGAAAAATAAAGTTCCTGCATTTTTAACATACCTTAGAAAACAGACTTGGAAATTTGTACCTGAGATATATGTATATATTTATCTACATTCATATAAATATTTATATGCAGTTCTTTAGACTAGAACACTAAAAGGAAAACTAGGATACTAGCAGTAAATATCTTTGTTGTGATTATAGATTACTTTAACTTTCTTCTCTTTTTTTGATTTTTTAGAAATTTCCCAGTAAGCAGGTATGAAATTTATAATATAAACACTTAGCAAATGGCAACCTGAAAAATACTTACAAATTCTAACATGGATAAAACTTTTGTTTCATTTTATTATTTCATTTCATGTCATGTCATTTTTTCCTCTTTCTTTTTGTAGCAAAGAGGTAATATCTTTATTCTATAAAGAATATGTACAGATTAATAAGAAAAAATGTAGCTAAATGAGTAAAAGACACAATTTCCAAAAGAAAAAGAGGCACCATTAGTAGGAAGATCTATGGGAACATGGACCTCCACTCCTCTGCAGTAAAACTTTCATTTCCTATCACACTTCCTATCAAAGAAAAGGATTAACCACCCAAGAGAAAAATGGGCGATGGAGATGAAAAGATAATTACAAGACAGGGAACATAAACAGCTTTCGAGCATATGAATTATTGCCCAATTTCATTCACAATAATAGAAATGCAAATTAAAACTCTTGCAAGATCCTATCTTTCTCCTATCAGATTGGCAAGGTCACATCCCTTGATAATGGGTTGTGTTGGTGAAGAATGAGAAGACATTCTTACACATTGTTCATGGTTGTGGAGATTGGTACAACATTTATGAAGGGTGAGTTGGCAATCTCCATCAAAACAGCAAATGCAAGGATCCATCAATCTGGCAATTTCCTTTTTAAGAGTTTATGGCAGGGATGTAGCAAGATATGTATGGAATGATTCAAGCACACGTTATTCACTGCAATACGGTTATAATAGGAAGATACCAAATATTAGAAGCAACTTAAATGGCTCTCATAGGGAGTGGTTAAATATAAGTTACTGATACAACAGAATACTATGGAGAACTTTTTTGTGTACTCATATAGAAGGATCTAAGACACCTTAAGGAGTGGGAGGACCACTGTCAATCACAATGTGTATAGTCCTCTGACTGGACACAGAGCCGGGTTCTTTCTGGTGCTGGCGCTGCTCTAGAAAGGCACCTGCGTTTGCTGCTGCAAGTCCCCAGCACAAAGCCTCGCGAGCTGGGCACTCTCACCTGGATGGAGGAGAAGGGGAGATAAGTCCAGCACCAAGTCCAGCCAGCTCTGGGCCGCCAGGCAGGGAAAGGATGGCAGTGAGAAGCGAGGGACGGATAGGGGTCACCCCAAGCCCGCCCAGGTACTAACACCTAACACACCTCTCACCTGGGCTGGGCTCCCCAAAGCCTAGCAAATATAAGAGGCTGCCAAGACCTGGGAAACTGCAAGCAACTCCGAAGAGGGAACCAGCGGCGGATCTGAACAGCTGGAGAAGGAGGAAGGGAGGAGGAGTCCTCGAGAAAGAGCAGGGGCCATGCCCTGTGCCTCCTCCCAAACCCGAGGAGCAGGTTCCTTCTGGGACCGGGACCACTTGCCCTGCAACTCCTCCGGCCCCACCTTTCCTCCAGGCCCACAGGTCACCACTGGCTTCCAGAATGTGGCACTACTGCGCCCTGGACCCCGCCCCCCTGCACTGCACAGCAGGCCAGCGGGGGCAGGACCCACCATGGACCCCGAGGGGGAGGAGATTTTCTTTGGTCTCAGTTCCCTCCACCCTTCTCCCCGCACAGAGGCACACCGGAAGGGGGCAATAGTTAGTCCCACTGCCGGCTGCATCCTCTCACTCTCTGGGATTTTGGTTTGGGGCTGCCCCTCTTCTCTGCCCCTCCACTATGGTGTTCCCTAAAAGGTCACCGTTCCCTTGGCCTTAAAAGGGGTCCAAGTTCCATCTCATGTTGACATGTCCACTCCCCTGTACTGGCAGTGGCAGGTGTGGCCAGTGGAGGTTGTTATTTGGCCAGCAGGAGGACCCCACCAACACGTGTCCCTCAGGACCTTTTCTAGCCCCCGAACTAAGTTAGACAGCCGCCTCTGGGGTCCAGGAAGGGAGGAAGGGGAGAGTCCTCTACCCCTCTTCACGGAGACCCCAGCCCACCTTGCGCTCACCCTGGGAGTGAGTGTCTATTGCACCAGTGGAGAGGCAGAGTCACCTGGTACAACTAGGTGAGGTTCAGGGGACCCAGGTTCTCTGTGACCACCCGAGAGAAGGGGCAGCTCACCCAACCCTATCTGCTCCCATGCTAGACCTTTCCCCCTTTTCTCAAAGGGGCAACTATAAGGAGGAGCCCACCCTTGTGACCCCTCCTACCCTCTGGTTCTGACTTTCTTCTGTTCACAAACTCCCTCTGAACAATCATGCTGCTTTTGTTCAATGTTTCATTCTTAGACATCTGGCATCGCAGCTGCTCTCTGCACCAAATGTTCATCTTCATCATACCCCCACCCCCACTTCTGACAACATTCCCTGCCCCATTCTTTATGGGGAAGGGGGCCTGGGTGCAGCACCTGGGCTACCCATAACTTCAGTCTCCAGGATAGTGTAGTAGAGCGAGGGGATGTGCCCCACATCAGTCACTGAAAATAAAAGGGTCCCTTTATTTCCTGTCCTGTTGGGGAGAGGCAGCCATTATTTGTCCTAGCCTTGGGGGGGGGGTGTCCCCATCTGGTTTCCTATTTGCAGTTACTTGCATAAAGTACATATATTTTGCTATCATTTTTGTAATGAATGAAAACACCTGTATCTATTTGCTGGTATGTGTATAATAACTAGTGCTTATCCAACTACATGGGGCCAATCATTGTTCTACATGTCTATGTATATACAGTCACTCATTTAATCACAATAGCTATATGAGATTGGCACTATTATTATCACAATTTTCAGTATATAGATGAGGCAATTGGTGCACAGAGAGAGCAAGTAATTGTGGGAGAACAGAGAGGATGAGTAGGAGGCAAAAGAGGTAAATTATGGATAGGAAGACGAGGAGGACATTTCACTGCACACTCCTGTGTATCTTTTATCCTTAGTTTATTGCTACTACAACATAATACCTAAAACTGGATAACTTTATAAAGAAAAGAAGTCTATTCAACTCACAGTTCTGGAGGTTTAAGTGCATGATGCTGCATTGGCTCAGCTCTGGAGTCTCCTGGTGGAATGAAATCACAAACAGCAGGCGCGTATGCAAGAGGGAGACATGATATCTCCAGCCAGGAAGCTAGAGAGTGGATCAAGGGGAGGGGATCAGGCTTTTATAATAAGTAGTTCTCAAGAGTACTTCTCCAGGAGAGCAGCATTCCCCTGTGGGGGGTGGTACCCAATGACCTAAGGAGTCCCATTAGGCACCACCTCTGAATGATCCCACCTCTCACATCATCAAACTGAGGACCAAGCTCCTAACACATGAGGCCTTGAGGGACACACTCAAATTTCATCCAAACCATAGCATCTTGTGAATATATTACCTTTTATAAATATAAGGATATGTCTGTCATGAACCTTGCTGTATTGTACCCCAGAGAGGTGCCCATCTACAGACATCGTATTGCACGAAGAACGTTGGGCTGGGGAAGGGAACATCTGGCTATGGGTCCAATCTATCCTTAATGTGTCCTCTCTGGAACTTGGTATCATCTTCCACAAAACACAAGTGCTCGGGGTGCATGGTAATGGTGGTATTGAATCACATCTGCGTTTCCTAAACTCTTTGACAGTCCAGCTCATCTTAGAAACTTTAAAGTAGGTAGCTTCATGAGCACATATTCTGATTGAGCATAGGACTAGAGTGCAGTTTGGGGATTTGCATTTTCAAAAGCCACCTCGAGGCAATTCAGATGTAAAACTGGGTTTAGAAACCCTGGACCAGATGATCTTTCAGGGCTTCCTCTCAGCTCTAAAATTCCACATCCTGTGAAGTAGTGAGTGTCACATCAGAACCAATTTGCCATTTGCCATTCACGCCCCCACCTTCCTCCTGTCCTCAGTCCATCTATCCCCTCTTAGAAGCTGCCTTCCTCCTGGTCCATCTCAACAGGAAATGGAAATGAAAAGGCAGGGCTGTGTCTTTTGATCTTGGTCCCCCGACCCCAACCTTCCACCCTCCAGTCCCCCACTTACTGGTATTGTACTCTAGAGGGCTGAGCCTGTCCACTCCATTCATTATCATTCCAAGAGGATGACAAGGTACCAAAGCCCCAAATTCCAAGATAGGAATTTTGAACCATCTCAGAATTTACACCTGGACCTTATTCCTCTGGGGATTCTAGTCTTTTTCCAAAGACAGTGTATTTCCTGGGATGACCCTCTGGGTATTTTACATATTAATCCCAAATTCTGCCAGGTTGTCTACAAGATTGGGATTCTTAAAGAAAAGAAAAGGAAAAAAAAAAAAGGTGTACAACACTCTTACTCTGCTGCACTGTTTTGGATATTCAGCCATTCTTCTTCCCTCCCTTCTTCCTGCATCTCCTCCTTGCATCAAGGAAAGGCCTGCATCCAGGAGGTGGAAGTTCTCTCCACCTCTCTTCTCCCGCTGGTAGAGAGAAGTCTGAGGGTTCAGGTCCCTCTGCTGCTGAGAGGGAATGTGGTTCCCCTGCCTTTTGCAGTTTTATGGCGAGTCTTTCTCCATTTCACAAGTCAGTTATTACTCCGTGATTGATGCTCACCGACCAAGCCCAAACAAACGTGTGCGCGGCACACTCCACATACCACACACAGACACAAATATTTGCAGGGCTCACATGGGCTGGGGTGAGATGCTATTTCCACCTGGGAGGAGCCACATGATCAGACCTTCAATCTCAGCCTCTGCGGGTGGCAGGAGGAACTTGGGCCTCCAGCTTCAGCTCTGGTTTCCCAGGACCCACATCCATGACAGAAGGTGCACTGCTGAGTGTTGAGGGTCCTCTCTTAGCCCCAGAGAAGGTGTGGCAGCCGGGCCCCAACTCCAGAGCCCCCATCTGTGGCCAGCTTCCCCTTCCTCTCCTCAACCCCGGCTAATGACAGGTCTTTCTGAAAGATGTATTCTTACCCTCTGGACAAATAGCAGTTGGGACGAGTGGGGCTTTTTATGAGTCGAGGTACTCGGGGCTGGAAAATAAACAGCCAGTTAATGAGACGTTCTTATGGAAACGGGCATAAATAATAACAAAGCAAACATCCTGTCTCTCGTGCCTACATCCCCGGGAGGGGGGATATAAAAGCTGCTGTCCGGCTGGCCACTTGTCAGACCTGGGGGAGCTCCGGCCGCGTTCCTGACCTGCGAGCTGACCGGCTGGGACCATGGGGTGCTGCCCAGGGGACTGCTTCAACTGCTGCACCCAAGAACAAGAATGCTGTGAGGAGTGCTGCTGCCAGCCCTCCTGCTGCGGCTGCTGCGGCTGCTGTGGCTCCTGCTGTGGCTGCGGAGGCTCTGGCTGCGGAGGCTGTGGCTGCGGAGGCTGTGGCTGTGGGAGTAGCTGCTGTGGATCTAGCTGCGGAGGCTGCGGGGGTTGTGGAGGCTGCGGGGGCTGCGGCTCCAGCTGCTGTGGCTCCAGCTGCTGCGGCTCGGGCTCCAGCTGCTCGGGCCCTGTGTGCTGCCAGCCCACACCTGTATGCGACACGAAATGAAGACCTTAGCCCTACCTACCACGGAGGCGGTGCCAGCGACAGCCTCCATCTGCTCCAGCTGGAGACCCCCTCCTCTCCACAGCCCTCCTTGCCCGCAAGACATGGACCTCTCCCGCGACTGTAGAGGAGGGCTGTTTCTCCAGCGCCTGCCCTGGTGCTTCGAGGCGCTGAGAGCAATAGCCCAGTTTCTTGGCGAGAAATTAAAACTGGGTCTCAAGGAAGTGAGCCCCGAGTTCAAAGGATGAATTTCCAAGGCCTTATTTGCATGAAGTTCGATGTCTTGTCACTGTACGTTCTCTCATTCAAGGTGTTTGGGACTGATCTTCCTCTCTAGCTTACTGTTGCTTTGGAGTTAAAAAAACAAAACAAAAACAATAAAACAAAGACCCCCCCACCCCCCCCCCCAAAAAAAAAACCCCAAAGAGAAAACAATAAAAAAACTTTGTTAACCCTTTAATAAATTCAAGTGTGCTGGCATAACCCCGTCAGTCCTCTTGCCTCTTCCTTCAGCCCCTCCTGGGATTGGTTAGGAAAATTTACTCTGGCAATCCAGGCTAGGACTTTTGCAATGTGCTTTGTGGATTGCCTGTACCAGAATCACCAGGGTCTAATTAAAACTGGAGAACCTGCCCCTGCATACAGAACCAGAATCCACAGGGGCTTGGTGTGGGGATCTGTGTTTTTAGCAAGAACCTTAGGTAATTCTTTGCATTGAAGTTAGAGATGCATGGATGTATGTGGCAGCTGCATGGCATTTGCTTGGGGAGGCTTTTAAGAATACAGAAATTTGGGCCTCACTGCCGGAGATTGTTATCCATTAGCTGTAGGGTCTAGGGAACTCTGGGACCTGTATTGTTAAAAGTTCTGTGGTCAATACTGACGCTGGACAAATCTGGTCTTGATTGAAGGGCCTGGCTTCCTTTTGGACAGCAGTCTTCCTAGGATAGTTCAGCAGGAGGCCTTCTGGCTTGTTCAGAACTTTCTGGAAAAGCCAGGGAAGGAGGCTTTGGTAAAAACAGGTTTGGTTCTGAATGGATGGGATTCCTGTGGCAAGGCTGTGTGACACAGGTCCTAGGGAAGTTCTGGGCAACTCAGCTCCTCCTCCAGCCCCAGGATCTGGCTCAGTTTGGCTTTTCTTGCTTTGGAGCTAGCTGTATTTCTTCTGCTGAGGAGGGGAAGGTGCACATCTGCTAGGGGGCTTGATGCTGGTGTGTGAGCCCAGCTAAGTTAAACCCCAAAAGATAATTGATTTGGCCTTTTGCTGAAAGTGATCTTCAGCCACACGTGGAAGAAAACTAAATGTGTTCTTGCCCTAGACAAACAATGTTTGTTTTCATTCCTACAAAACAATGCTCCATTGGATAAACAGGAAATCAGAACTATTATATCAATGATTCCTAAAAATACAAAAAGCTATAGAAAAATATAAAGAAGAAACAATAGCCTTCTGAATGCTTAGCGTTTGTTACTGAGATTTATCTTTTGCCAGCATACTTACAACTGGAATTATGCTGATTCTACTTTTTTTTGCTTTTAAAAAATGTTCTGTTTCATTTTTTATGAGTCAGTTTTGTTGAGATACTGCTAGGTAGCAGGCAGACATGTGCAGTGAGCACATGGAGATAAAGCCTATGTGCTCACTCTCGGCACATTTTTCTTTGAAGCGACTTTCCTAGGCCATTCCGATCCTGCTGTGGTTTAAAAAAGCTAACAGCATGGTACAGCCCTTGACTAATGAGCTTTTTATTTCTAGGGTTGTTCTTTCCTCCCAAGGTTGAGGAATATAAGTTCAAAAACTCCTCTGATGATAAAAAGAACACAAGTCACCCTGCTCCAGGCTGGACGTGGATGAAAGAAGGCCTTTGTGACCTTTATACAAACCCAAATAACTGGGAGATCCTTTAGGTAGAAACATATGCAGTAGGGATTTAAAAATCGGACACAATCCTACTGTCAGTTAACAGCTAAGAGGTGGTGCTTGGGTGGGATTCTCCAGAAACCTCCCTTCTTACCCCAGTAAAATTGAGATCACAAAGAAGTGAGTTGTCGTTGTCTTAAGAGGACACTCTTTCACTAGAGGGTGATGTCCCCACTCTTGTTCTTTCTCTTCTAACAAACTTTGCTACACTTTTAATAAGTCTTGTGATCTTGCTTGAAATCCTCTCTTGCAAAGACTCAAGAGCCGAGAGCACAGCACAATCTCCAGTAAGATCTAGCTCAGCTATGATCTTATCTCTGTTACCCATATAGTGTAGAATACAGTTTGATGACATTTGACCATTGTACATATGATACCTGTGTTATCACTACTGCACTCAAGACATGAACTTTTCCATCATCTCCCAAATTCTCCCCTTTTCAGTCGGTTCCCTATTGCCAGCCCTTGGAGATCCTTAGTCTGTTCTCTATGTCATTAGACACTGTGCCATTTCTAGAATTCCATATAAAAGAAACAATACAGTGTAAACTATTTTTTTCACTTGGTGTAACATTTTTAATATTTGTCCATATTTTCACAGATATCAATAGTTCGTTCCTTTTTATTGAATGGTATTCCACTGTATGGATAAACTCCACTTAAAGACCTATTCACTATCGATGGGTATTCGGATTGTTTTGAATTTTGGGCTATTATGAAAAAAGCTGCTAAGAACACTTGTAAGTTTTCGCATGGACATATGTTTTCATTTATTTCAGATAGATACCCAGGAGTTGGGTTGCTAGGTAAATGATACATGAATGTTTATCTTTGTAAGAAATGATCAAATTGCTTTGCAAAGTGGATATACCATTGTGTATTCCAACCAGCTATATCTGAGAATTTTAGTTGCTCCATATCCTTGAAAACACTTGATATTACCAGTTTTTTTTAATTTTATAGCCATTTTAGATCATACAGCCATAGCTTATTGTCATTTCAATTTTTGGTTTTATTAAAAATGTCATTGGTATTAATATGCCCTGTGTTTGGAAAGAATATAAGATTTGACTCCACCCTGGTTTAGCTTCAGACTCTAATGTTTAATTAATTTTTGCTCTGGATGGAATTAACCTAATAGGAACTGAGTTTTTAATCCTCAGGATAAGGTCACAGCTAGAGCAGGTGCATACCAATGTGACAGACTTGCCAAGAGGCCAGTAGGTCTGTTCTGAGTGATGGTGACTCAGAGCTGCTTATTATTCTATTGCTCATGGCTACATCTCCCTGATACATGAGTAGAGGTAGTGATTTCTTTGAATTACCAAGGGAGGCCCTTCTTAGCTGTTCACAGAGGTTCTCATTTGTTCATTCAATAAATATTAATTGTGCACTGCCTATGTATCCAACACTGCTATGGGTTCTGGGTATGCATCAGTGAATAGACAGAAGCCCTAGCCCAGATGGTACTTATATATGATATCATATCTTATATGATATGAACTATGAAGAAGAATCTCTTCCTCTTTTCCTCTCCTCTCCATATCCAGAGAGACAGTTCCAAAGGGCAAACCCAATCAAGTGACTCCTTAACCCCCAGATACCATTATAAAATGTGACTTCTTACCCATGGTTCACAAGGCTTTACACGACGGGGGTACTTGGGAACCAATCTAGTACCACCACTGTCCTTACGTACCCTGTGCTCTCCATTCTGGCTAGGTTAAACCATTAGCTGCTCCCCAAATACACTCTGCTTTTGTGTCTTTGGTTTCTGCAGCTCATCTTTTTCCAGTTCTTGCCAGTCTTTCATCCTTCTCCCTTGAGGATTTAACTTGGCCATCATATTCCTTGAGAAGGCTATCCTAACTTCCCCAAAACAGTGTTGGTATTTCCCCTTTTGCCCCTGAAAGCATCTGTATATCCCGCTATCATAGCGCTTGTAATCCATCATTGCTTATGGATGTGCAAATCTCTCTTCTCCACTTGTGCTCCTTTGGCTGAAATTGCAACTCCTTTTTTTCTTTGGTACGGGGATTGAACTCAGGGGCACT